GGAAAGAAGAGGAGGGGAATGAAGAAAAGAAAAGATGGGAAGAAGGGAGAAGCAAGGTTAGGAAAGGAAAGGGGAGAGCAAAGAATGAGGGGGAGAGGAGAGGAAAGAAAGAAGGGGGAAGGAAAGGAGAAGAGAGGAAAGGAGTGCAAAGAATGAGGGGGAGAGAAAATAAAGAATGAGGGGGAGAGGAAATAAAGAATGAGGGGGAGAGGAAATAAAGAATGAGGGGGAGAGGAAATAAAGAATGAGGGGGAGAGGAGTGGAAAGAAAGAAGAGAAAAGGAAAAGAAAGAACAGGAGAGGATGAGAAAGGAGAGAAGAGAAGAGGAATGGAAAGATAAGGGAAGGGAAAGGGAAAGTAAAGGAAAGAAGAAAGGAAAGTAGGGATGCACCGATACCAAGTACCGTACTCAGTACAAGTACAGATACTTTTCGAGCACCAAGACTGGACTAGAGAAAAAATCAAGTTAGAAGGCGGCTGTCATGTGTAAGGAGCACACGGAGCTCCCGGGATTTGTACATCTCTGTTATAATGTATGATTTTGTTTTTATAAACATATATAAGAGACGCACCGATACCAGTTTCCCAAGAACAAGTACTGATACTTGCCCAAGTACTCACAGATACAAATACTGATACATTGTTGCTTATGGTCATGTGACAGTTTCTCTAAAACAGGGGTAGCCAAACTCCGGCCCTCCAGCTGTGATGGAACTACAAATCCCATGAGGCATTGCAAGATTCTCACAGACATGACTACAGGAGAGAGATGCATCATGGGGTTTGTAGTTTCACCCCACAGCTGGAGGGCCGGAGTTTGGCTACCCCTGCTCTAAAACAATACAGACTAATGATTTCAGGACAGTGGTGGAGCGCCAGAGCCCGGGCCCAGCTGCAACCGCTGCCACCCTGGGAGTTCTCATGAAAACGCCAAGTATCGGCACTGGTATCTGAGCTGGTATCGGCACTGGTATCTGAGCTGGTATCGGCACTGGTATCGGCACTGGTAGCTGAACTGGTATCGGCACTGGTATCTGAGCTGGTATCGGCACTGTTATCTGAGCTGGTATGGGCACTGGTATCGGCACTGGTATCTGAGCTGGTATCGGCACTGGTATCGGCACTGGTAGCTGAACTGGTATCGGTGCATCCCTAGTAGAAAGGAAAGGAAAAACAAGGGTAAGAAAGGCGAGCAAAAAAAGGAAAAGGATTGTAGAAAAGAAGAATGGAGGGAGGGGGGAGGGAATTTAGGGAAAGGAAAGGAGTGGAAAGAAAAAATTATAAACATATATAAGAGACGCACCGATACCAGTTTCCCAAGAACAAGTACTGATACTTGCCCAAGTACTCACAGATACAAATACTGATACATTGTTGCTTATGGTCATGTGACAGTTTCTCTAAAACAGGGGTAGCCAAACTCCGGCCCTCCAGCTGTGATGGAACTACAAATCCCATGAGGCATTGCAAGATTCTCACAGACATGACTACAGGAGAGAGATGCATCATGGGGTTTGTAGTTTCACCCCACAGCTGGAGGGCCGGAGTTTGGCTACCCCTGCTCTAAAACAATACAGACTAATGATTTCAGGACAGTGGTGGAGCGCCAGAGCCCGGGCCCAGCTGCAACCGCTGCCACCCTGGGAGTTCTCATGAAAACGCCAAGTATCGGCACTGGTATCTGAGCTGGTATCGGCACTGGTATCTGAGCTGGTATCGGCACTGGTATCGGCACTGGTAGCTGAACTGGTATCGGCACTGGTATCTGAGCTGGTATCGGCACTGGTATCTGAGCTGGTATCGGCACTGGTATCGGCACTGGTAGCTGAACTGGTATCGGCACTGGTATCTGAGCTGGTATCGGCACTGTTATCTGAGCTGGTATGGGCACTGGTATCGGCACTGGTATCTGAGCTGGTATCGGCACTGGTATCGGCACTGGTAGCTGAACTGGTATCGGTGCATCCCTAGTAGAAAGGAAAGGAAAAACAAGGGTAAGAAAGGCGAGCAAAAAAAGGAAAAGGATTGTAGAAAAGAAGAATGGAGGGAGGGGGGAGGGAATTTAGGGAAAGGAAAGGAGTGGAAAGAAAAATAAGGGAAAACAATACAAGAGAAGGAGAGGAGATGAGAGAAGAGCAATAAAATGAATAGGAAGGGAAAAGGAAGGGAAGGCAATGCAAAGGAAGGGAAGGGAAGGGAAGGGAAAGGTAGAAGATGAGAGGACAGGAGGGGAGAAAAGAGGAAAAGGAAATCATTTTCTGGGCACTATGTTGCAGAATTCTTAGTTATTATTCCTCAGCAGTAAATTCTTCCCAACACTGCTCAGACTTCTGCCCTCCCAGGGGAGTCTCACTCTTTAAGCTGCATTATTTGAATCCCATTGTACCATTGTATAGGCCGCGGCGAGTGAAGAGAGTAAAGAGATGTAAAAAATAAAATCCATCTTTCAGCACAATCGGAGTGTTTTTCTCTGAATGGAGCACGCAGCGTGTCTGCACCATGCGTGGAGTGTTTGTATTCTGCGCACCGAACGCCCACTCACACCTCATTGTTCCCTATTATTCCCTCTCTCCACATCTGGATCAGGTGACAGCGACAACACAGAACATGTTATGTGACACGTGAGCAGATGGCACGGGGAGGCATGAACCACGTGCATGAAAATAAACACAATTATCTGCTGCAGAATCCTGACTGTGCCCAACACAGGAGAGAGCAATGACTCATCCACCGGATCTGTGTTCACAGCCAACCCTTCCCTACTCAGATCCTTCTACCCCCCTC